AAATGTCTATTTCCCACATTGTCTCCTGGCAGAGCCCAATGCCATTACACTACTCTCCCATCAGAATCAACGTGACGTTGGTTCGATACCAAATCGAGTGGGATTGTCGCGCGCCGGAGGTTACCAAGAATAATAAGAATCCTCCTGGTATTGATAAACTGAAAGATAAATCAAAAAAGAAGGCGGTAGCATATGGTTGGGAAATACATGTAATAATTTTAAAATATCTGCTTTCATGTTTAATACGCTTAAATGAAAATTTAGGTAAATATTATTCAAGCTAAACGAAGTGGGGTTATGGCAATAATAAAATGACTCCGTCTAGTGATATTTTGATAAGTCGCCGTAATAATAATAAAACGTAAGATGCGTGTTAATAGCTGTTGCTTAATAACTTAAATTATAGGTAGTAAGTATTTTGTGTTTATAAATATTAAAAGCAATCAATAATGTAGAAATGTTAATATTGGTATTAGTTTTGGTTTAAATTATGAAATCAAATAACGTTTATGCCAGTAAGCTGTCCATATGAGTTGATTTCCAATTGTTTCTGTGTTAGCAGGCTAACTGAAAGAACAAAAGTATAACCATGGAGAAGAATTCCAACCAGTGTTTTAGTTAATTTGTTACGGTTTATTTAGTTATGGAGAGATTTTCTCAACCTCACTTTTACTTGACCGTGATAGAATTTACTAATACTACTAATACATATGAATAGTTATCGAAAAGTTTTTTAATATGTGAAAAGTGATAACCATGTGAATTTTGGACAGATATATAAGAGCAATTCGTTAAACATGTGTGTATTCGTAAGAAACATGCTTTAGACTCAATGTTCTGACTTGCCATAGACTATTTATATTTATACCTACCGGCTGATAGTGCATACAAGTTAGTTGCAAGTATGCAGTTTAGTATGAGGCGGAATACGATTTGATTGAGATATAATGATTATACGTTGTTGGTGATGTAGTGCCGCGAAATGACTTTGGCTAAATAAGTCTTTACAAGATGATCAACAGTGAGTGATACTCATGTGATTATCAGGGAGACCGTAAGTTGTAACCAAGGGGAGTACAGTCTCAACTCATGTCTATGATAATGGCCTGATCCTTAGTCAGTTTTGAGGTGAGTTTGACATTGATGTTTTCAGTTTGCAGGAGATTTGCTCGACTGCTTATACTGATGATTTGCATGCATGATTGTGTCGCTAAATCTCCAATTGGACTAACGAGGTTGTGAGTTATTTGATGAATGAGCAACTGATAGAGAAACGTACTGTAATCATCCGTAGTGAATGAAGATAAAAGAGAAACAACACTTAAATGATAATTACAAGTCAATTTGCTGACCGATTTTGCTAATAGTTTCATCAATTTTATCAATCATATTACGTGATTGTCAAGTCATGACAATCCTTTATGACGATATCCTGAAACCATTATGCTTAATTAGTTATAGTGTTGATTGAGGATTAGCCAGTGGAAAAATAGGTATTGTTGCTTTAGGTGATTCAAAATTATCGGAAATTCGTAGCGTTAACGAATCTGATCTGCCTGTTTATATTACTAATGGTAATCTAAAAATATTCGTATGCATAATTTTAATTTTAGTAATAGGTTCCGGAGATTTAATTTTAAATATTTGTTTATCGAACAACTACCTAAGAGTTTGGTTATCATACTAGTGCAGTTGATAGTACCTAAATTTGTAAATTTATTATCTAAACTATGTTCGTATTTTAGGCTGCTAATATGATAAACCAATTCATAAACATATATTTGTATAGCAACAACGACCATGATGGGTTTATTGATAAACATCAAAGGCGATTCAAATTATTTTTTAATTTAAAAGAATAGAGATATAATGCAACGCATGTACGGGTCAGAATAACATGCAGATTGTTGATGTATATGGCAAATTAAAAATGATAAACTTGCCCAGAAAAACAATTTTAAAGTTAAGACTACTTATGAGACTTCTGGCAGGAATATGACGCGCTATAAACTTTCTATAAGAAGTTCATGCATTTACCCTAGTGACACAAATATGTGGCAAAAGCGATTGGACAATATATATGTGTTAAGTACAAAAAAACCATCCATGAAATAGTTAAACTCGCCTGGATTATTCTTGAAAATTAGATTATTCAGTAGACGACATATGTAACGCCATTCGTGAGGAGTAGTAATGATCAGAAAACATCCAGAATAAAACATCATTATGGCAGATAATTCCAGGGTCCTCGGTGCCGCTGACGTTTTTGTCACTCGCTCGAATCAGAACAACTGAATTAATCCAGATAATTGTGGGATTGTCATTGAAAGAGCCATCTAAAATGACCTTATGATTACAGAAAATGTATAGCTTAAACTCACTGTATGTTTTTGTAGTAGTGTCATCCTTGTTTGGCAATGGAACTTGAGAATTTGAAATTAGGAAGGCAGTGGTCGGAAGAAAAGATATTACAGGATAGTGCATGGTTTAAAACAGAATGAGGTGTTAAGTGAAGGAACACTAAGAATTAGATCCAGATAACTACTTAGTCCTTGATTGTATTGTCAGTCAATGTATATTGAGGTTATTTGCAGGTCATATTTGCTAGAGCTTGATGTTAAAACAAGTTTATTTCGCTGAAGCATGTAAATGCCACTAAAGCTTGTTCACGAACCATCAAAGCTAATTAGTTAATATAGATGACCAGTTTTTATTGTCGGTTGAGCTGGTGAGTTATGATGACAAATCAATATAACATTACGATAATAACTTTGAGCATTAATCAGAGAAATAATAGAAAGTGCCACTAAAGGCTCAGTGGTCTACAGTTTAGGTATTCAAGCTCGAGGCCGAAGTTCACGCGTTCGTGTCCTATATACGGGATGGTGGATCAAAACCGTCAAGCAGTCCCATACTAGGACAAAATGCATGTCAAGAGTTTGCAGGTTTTAAGTGGTGGTCTAACGTTGATTGGTTCATGATTTCAATGAAATTAAAAATCTCGCTGTCATATACGTAAATTCAGGGAGAGAGAATTAGCATTACGTGCAAAAGGGAAAGGAATAAATGTTGTGATATGGAGTGGATGCATAGGGGAATTAACATACACGTATGAACATATATTTACAAGAAATTTCTTACGTACTGACTTGAAGGGATGTATTTAAAACAGCCAAATAAGGTTCAACGGCACCACTGTGATAACTTTACCGTACTCATAGTGCCTCTGTTGGTGTGGTTTACTTACGTTATGACCGTCGCCTGACTCACTCTTACAGGTGTCCAAATTGCTCTACTAAAATGACACATTTGGAAGATAGACCAGATCATGCTTCAAGGAAAATGAATGAAACGGTAATCTGTAGGAGTGGTGATGGCCAAACTCATGCACCGGTCACACAGAGCAGATCATTCAATTATCATTTCATTATCTTCGATCTTGATGCTTCCCTACCAGCCATTCTAAGATGGGGTTGTGTTTAGCTTGACGAATGGTTAGGCTAGGTGCAGCGGTAAATAAATCCCCATAATAGACAGTCCCGTGATTCTTCGACACTGGTGTTAACATCATTAGGTTTACTTGATGCGCCTTAGCAAAAAGCGCTTGGTCACATACCCACATCGGATCGCGAGTTGATATGCCATGTTACTCTTCCCTTGAAACTACTACTCAGCTTGGAATAAAACGCCTGTTGACATATCGACAGCTTTACAAGTATATATTCAAACCCCTACACTTCCGACATTTGATTTTACTGGGTTGACGTTACAGGCAAAAAAGTTATGAAACACTGAATATCCGTGGCATCTTTATAGAGTTTGGCGTTGAATCACTCACCATATATAATAACCTTCCTCAGTCTTTATGAGCAATTATTTTGACTGCTATCAGCCGGATAAACCTCTCGCTTTCAGAGTAGCTTCGTTGGAGGTCAATGAGACTTCGGCATTTCAGTGGGTATAACGAAGCTTCCTTGTTTGGTTTATTTGATAATATCCTTGTGAAAGAATCAAATTATGCACATTTTGGCGAGACTCTAATTTAGGGACGAGCCAATCAGAAGCGTCTGAGCCGTTTAAAGGTCACAGAGCCAAGTTTAACACCTGATGCTCACATATGATCGGTTTTCAGCGGATTTTAGAAAAGGGATGATTATTGAGAGGCTACAAGGGATAGGATTACTAAAAAGTTCTTGTACGTGAGACTGCGGTTATCAAATGACTGCATTAAAGTGTGCAAATAACCGTGGTGAGATTATATTTCGTTGTCCTTCAGGTTGGAGGAGAAAGTCTGCTAGAACGGGGACTTTCTCTGCTCAATTGCTACTGAAACTGAATCAGATTATGATAATAGTTGCAAATTGGGTAATAAATACACCAGTAACACTGGCTGCGGCGTTTGCAGTTGTTTATGAAAATTCAGCAGTCCAGTGGTATGAGCACTGCCGTGCAACTAAAATAACACTTGTACACCAATCATTCGGAGGAGTAGGATGTATCATGCAGACAGATAAAACGGCAGTGAGAAAGCGAAAATACAACAGGGGACGTAGTATAAAGTAGGATTGTGTAAGTAGCATTTCCGTAAATATACTCGACAGGTACTTGGAATTTATGACTTTTTATACCGTATGCAATATGATTTCAAAACATCTGAAACTTTAGCAAACCTTGATAAGTTTTTAAATCACGTTAAATAAGTATATTCACTGTAATCCATTAGTTTCTTCTAATATATTTCTACGTTATACTAGGTGTCTTGTGATTGGCTATTATTCTCAAGGTCACTCAAAATTCGTTCAAAGGTCGTCCCTAAATTAGAGTCTCGCCCACATTTTTGACTCTCCGTTCCTAAAAATTCATTACAAGGATAGTTTTGCTACGTTTTTGTGTTTTGTGTGTACGAGACAGTAACCGGCAAACTAAACCATATTTTGTTTTTCCTCGCTGGTAACTTTCATCAATTTCATTTACTCTAAAGGCGGTGGTTTGGAGTTTTCATGTTTGAGATGGGACAACTGTGGCGAATTTTGGATTTGTTTTTAATTTTGACCGTAAATTGCCAGCCATCTGTCAATTTGAGAGAGAATCCTAATGCTCCGTCAGCAGTTGGCGGGCAGTTTATGCACCAAGAGGCTAATGCAAATACACCCATTGAAAATCTTGATATTCATTCTACTTACTCGTCCTCAATAGTTTCAGATGGCAATCATATAAGTAATCCAACGGAGGAAAAGCCTAGTCATCTTGATTTAACACGTTCTCATGAAGCATCGTTACATGGTCAAGATCCGTCGTCATTTGATCACAGTTCGAATGTTTATATTGATGAAACACGTGGTTCTAATCGCGACTCTTCCATTGCCAATCAAAAACATGACCAGTCAGGTTCTAGTCATGGTGTGTATACAAGTATGCATAAGAAAACAACTCAAAATGCTCAGCAGATACCATCAGTGTCTAATATTCCACTCCCAGACATGGCCCATGGACAACAACCGAGTCCAGGTGGTCAATCACATGATTTCATATACAAGGATATTGGGTTAAACAACCGCTTGTATCAAGGACAGGTACCAGGTGCTAGAATTAATCAGCTACCAACAAACTATTTTGATGATGAACTTGGGTCTATGGTGTCTAACCAAGGTCCTGAGTTTTCCGAACGCCGTCACTTTCATAATAGCAAGGACACTCTGTTTAGAGATCCTAGTGATAACACTGGATCTAGATCTCAGTGGGAAACTGCGGATCAAAGTATTCTTCATAATGGACCCAAGAAGTCACGCAGAGATACTTCATCGGAGTACCAATTGGATGAGATTTTTTCTCTACCATCACGTGAAGATCCAATACAGAATCAGGCTGACTTTGTTTCTTTGGTCGTAATTGTACCTCCCGGAGTAAAGCATTGCTACTTCTATAAACCAATCACTAACTTTGATGTTGAATATCAGGTAATTACCAGTTAGAGTATGTTACTTTACAGGTTCTTAAAGGAGGTCATTTAGATATCGGAATATTCATTCGGGATCCCGAGGGAGAACCAATCGCTATCCGACCACCGCTATCAGACTCTCAAGTTTCGTAAGTTCATCATTCCAGTTTTCATTTGCAAACTAGTTAGTTAATCTTCTGTGGATTTGTACGCACATAGAAACATATCTTATGAAAGTTTCATGGAAATCATTCAAAGCGAGTCTTAGTTCTAGTATTCATACTAACGAGGCTCGATTCACTGGTAAACCTATTTTCACTCTTGTTGACTTTATATATATATATATAAGCTATTATAAAATTTAATAGCGATAGGTCCTTATAATGCATCTGGCTAAGTCAGCCAAATAATATTAATTAGTATTAATGTATTAGTCAGTATCTTTGCTTGTAATAAAATATATGTGTTACATTCGGTTTTAATTTCGGGAGTTATTTGAGTTTATGCTATACACAAAGATCAGTATATATCCACTAAAGATTTCAGGCATAACTCAACAGTCGGTGAGTAAAATTAGGTATTTGAGGTTTACCGTTTCGTTTTCGTGTTACACATTCAGTTAATGACTTTGTCTCTTGAATACCCTAGGCACTTCGACTTTGTTTTAGTAGAACCTCAATGAAGTTATTATAAAAGCTTTCTGGACAAAGATAACTTATTTAAATAAGATTATCCTCAAGCAAGTAAAGCGACCTGATGAGCTCAATATTGTTTCAATATAGGTTTTCTTCGTCTTTTTTAAGCAGCATAGATAAATGAAAGAGTAATTTGAACCAGACCCATAGCTAGTCTCTATTAAAGTTTTATTACGTAGCTTTGCTATTCGAGGCATTCATAAAAATGTTCGCTAGTCAGCACTATGTTGTCAGTAAGAACATTTTCATTTAGGATGTAATCCTCAAAAAGCAGAAGGAAGTAACTTCTAACAGTATGTTTGTGACGGAATTTTATTTTGAGGTCACGTAGTATTTTGAATTCCTATACATCTGTATTAAATAGCACGAAAGACAGCAGCCAGTTCATTCGTATAAAGAATGAACGAAGTCAATCCAAGTAACAGTTTAGCATAAGATCTAATGTGACTAGGTATTCAGGTAAATAGTTCCCAGTAAGTAGATGTGGCTGTTACATTGCAACTGGGTTCGAAACCTTCCTGGTTGTTTTTTACCCTATCTACTTAGCCGTCAGGTGATTATAGAAGTCAGAAGTCTAGGAACTTAGTCTAATTCTTCTGATCACAAGAGTATTCTCTTTTATAAACTGGGAAAATCAGCTATAATAATGATGTGTGGTAGACTACCTTCCAGATTTCAAACTAGCTAAAATCTCAGTTAATCTAGCAGAAAACTAAATACATACATTCTGGAGCTTTTGGATTTAACATACTGAATAAGCTGGTCTCCCCAGCTTCAGGTCACTTATGAACTTTTAGCCTCAATAAGGGTTGGATGCCCAATGTCGATTTCTAATGGGCTTTTAAAGAATACTTTTGACCTTAAGAGTAGTTTGATTATGTTATGACGTTTTTAAGCTGTTTGCCTCATTTTCCCAAATATGTGATGTAGTAGAGTCACATTTGCTTTCATTCCTAGTGATTCCAAAGAACAGTCCAGTGTTGTCAGTTGCAATTGCTATTTTTATATCTTTTGCTTTCAATGCCCATCATTTGCCACAGTTATTGGGAAGATTTAGCAGTCTAGTTACTTTTGTTCGTTATCACTTTTGCATCAGGGCTTTTCTATCAGCTACCTCCAACCACCTAACATAAAAGCTGCCCCCAAGTGCCCTGGTACGGCCGAGAGTGGGGAGAGTCCGCTCTCCCTCTCGAAATGCTCTCACATGGCCACGCGTATATAACCTCTGCCAGGAAAGTCCTACTCACTGCCTTCTCGTGGCGGGGGTGTTGTTTACGAAAATGAGAGGACGAAAAGCGAATGTCCGGCGCTATAACCGGATCCCAAACCAATGGTGCACATGGGCTCCAATATCCTGAAGGAACAAATGGCGTATGAACCAATCGTTGGTCACCGGCTACCATGGGACTGTATCTCCTCACGATGCTCCACTGCCTTGTGGGTCAGACGTTCAGGTCGAAGGCTCGGGGTGTGGCCCCCTAAGGAAACCACCCGCGTCGGTCTGGGCACCCGGGCAGTATCACAGCCCTCACACAAATCAATTGAGATTCGTGTGGCGCATATGTATTTGGTGCCTTCTTGTACCAATATCTATGTGTTAAAATAAATAAATAATAAATACAATTCCAGTGAGACTAATGGTCACATTACAACTTGACGAATAGGATTCAGTCATTACTAAGAAATAGAAAAAAAAGATATTGGTTACCATTCAGTGATCAACCAATGCAAGTTGCTGTTACTTTCACTCATGTTCAAATAAGCTTTCCTCTTTCATGCAACCAGTAGGGTCCAAATGAGCACGTGCTTTCACAAACGCATCAATTTTCTTAAATTATGGATGGTGGTTGTTGTAACTTGTGGGTTGTATGTCCTGTTAATGGATAGTAAAGATACCGCCAATTAGGGAGCAGTGACTTATCGATCGGACTAATGACGCGTAAACCCGTATGAGCAGTCTAGAGTCCTTATTGTTCTCGCTTCCTGTCTAGCCCAGCCAATTAAGTCCAAAGCGGCAATCTCAGCCTCTCCAATATGAATCATTATATTTCAAACATACTGAGTTTATATACCAATCAAACAGACCACAACGTACCACAAAATAGTAAATAACATTTGTACAAGATTTGGCCAAATGTGGTTGTGAATGTGGGAGGCAGTGACTAATAGACAGGGCGTAATTCAAGAATGGTAAAACGTATAATAATTGTTCATAGGTCAGAATCAAGCTTGTAATAAGAGGAATATGAATATGAATAGTTTAGCTTTTTTTAACAATTATACGATAAAAATATACTCATAGTATTGGTCCATAAATGGATCCCAAAAGTCACCATTTATTATGCTTATCGGGACATAACAGTGGTGATATGGTTTATTGGCATTCAATGTTTATATCAATTCCAGCATTCACAGACCAAACGATATCCTTTTCTATGCTTATATGTTACAACTATTGGGTAGGCAATACTGGTATGTATTGTAGAATACTATTTCGAAGTGGTAAATCAATTATTGAGGTTGTGAGTTCTTATGACTGATGTACGTTACACATACACAAGTATTATACACTTCGGTGTTTCACGATAGCTGGCATCGGAGTAGGTTCAAATATAGCCACAGGTGACCATACAGTCATGTTACTAACTGTTGACCTAATCTGCGTAGTGAAGCAATTTGAGTTAGCAATAAAACTAATTAGTAGTTGAAGATGATATCAAGGAGTTTGAAACCCTCCTTGTGTTTCTGAAATCATTTACTCTATATTTTATGCTGGACTCAATAATTCTCTATATTTTTTCATTCGTTGTGTTTCATTTCGCCCTCAGATGTCTCAATTTTGTCACTTAGTTTAATGGTTGTATCCACTAATTTTTCCCGTTGACTTCCTGTTGTATTTTTATTTTTTATTTTTATTTTAACACATAAGTATAGGTACAGGGAGGCACCAAGTACATATGCGCCACACGAATCTCAATTGATTTGTGTGAGGGCTGTGATACTGCCCAGGTGCCCAGACCGACGCGGGTGGTTTCCTTAGGGGGCCACACCCCGAGCCTTCGACCTGAACGTCTGACCCACAAGGCAGTGGAGCATCGTGAGGAGATACAGTCCCATGGTAGCCGGTGACCAACGATTGGTTCATACGCCATTTGTTCCTTCAGGATACTGGAGCCCATGTGCACCATTGGTTTGGGGTCCGGTTAAAGCGTCGGACATTCGCTTTTCGTCCTCTCATTTTCGTAAACAACACCCCCGCCACGAGAAGGCAGTGAGTAGGACTTTCCTGGCAGAGGTTATATACGCGTGGCCATGTGAGAGCATTTGGAGAGGGAGAGCGGACTCTCCCCACTCTCGGCCGTACCAGGGCACTTGGGGGCACTTCCTGTTGTACTGATGTTAAGTGGAAAACTCCGGTTAATACATATCCATACAACGTTCTTCAGTGTTGGGAATTCGAGTGACAACCTGGAAATTCACATTCGTATCCTACTTTATCTATGACTAACTGGTTGAGTTATGTAGTCAATGTCGTTGTCCGCGGTATGATTTATTTTTTATATATATTATGACATGAAATCAAGTTAATGAGATGTATTACCGAAAAGGGCTACTGAAGACTTCGTCTCTAATATCATTTCAAAAAGGAGTTTTTACTCGCCCACAACCTTAGATTTATTGTTAAAGTGCTTTTGGTAGATATCGCTTTGCTGTGCATGTAATGTACTCTCAAAATGATTTTTTTCTTTATTTTCAGAATATCTGTTCCGAAATACTTCCGTCTTATGCCATACGCAATTTGTCTAGACAATAGAAAAGCTAGTTATGCGTATAAAAATGTCTATTTCTCTGTAGATGCTAATTTAAATTGGGACAATCCTAGTGAACTGGAACGACAAGCAATAGAAAAGTTACGTAATAATCCCTTGGTGAATTCACAAGCTCAAGCGGCAAGTGCTGAACATGCGGAAAACATTGATAAGCTTATGGTTAGTTGCTTTTGTGAATTAGATAAATATTTTTCATTTTCTCACTGCGTTGATCTAATTCTAACCATTCCTTGCGCTCAGCTAGTGAAGTATTCATCACCTATGATTACCAGCTGATTAATCCCCACAGGAAGCCGAAAGAACCAATTGAGAATCATGGGTTTCCATTCTAAAAGTTCTTTACAGATTTCATTCTACCTCAAAAATAGGACAGGAAAACATTGACCTTTTTGAAAAAATAAAAATCAAAAGTTATCCCGTAGTAACATGATTAAAGATGTAGAAATATACAGTTCAGATAAAAACAAAACAAAAGCGTTCAATAGGACTGTCACTGACTTAAATTTCAGTTCATGTGTGATAAATTTTCAGTCTAGATTTTGTTCCACCAAGACTTATCTGTTCTGGCGTAAGCTGATCATTTCTTTACCTTTCCTACTTAGTTCCACTAGTAAGACTATTTGGAAAATCTCATTATATTGCGTTTTGAGAATCACTAGTTGGCCTGTAATTTACAGCTAGTAGCTGGAATATATATGTAGATAACAGTCAGTCAGTCAGTCAGTCAGTCAGTCAGTCAGTCAGTCAGTCAGTCAGTCAGTCAGTCAGTCAGTCAGTCAGTCAGTCAGTCAGCCAGTCAGTCAGTCAGTCAGTCAGTCAGTCAGTCAGTCAGTCAATAACAACGTGGAACTTCGTACGTACGTACATCAGTTCGAGTTGCCATACCACATTAGCACAGAGATTCAGTTATCGATTCAAATCCCATAGTGGTAGAGGTACTGAAAGTATAAGTAGAGATAGGGGACATTAAGGTTTGACGATGTTATTAAAGGAGTATAGTCCAGTGGAATAGATTCGGAAAGAAAATAAAGGACATGAAGAATTCAGAAGATTAGAGTTTGAGAGAACACAAAGAGTGGATGCACCTGCGCCATTGCAAACGATTTTCAGCCATGTCATTCAAGGTCTCTAACCATCGGTTGCTATCGTCTCGCGGTCCTCAACCAAGTAGTCTACACCTACCAACACGGCTCAGTCCACTTGTCAGTGACTTCATGGATTTGTACCATGTTTTGGTCTGGCCGCCCTAAGCTTTCTTCCAACCTACTCCTACACCATGAAACATCGCGCGTCGGGGCAGTCGGTGGTCGGGCATGCGCAACACATGTCCCAGCCATCTCAATTGATGAAGTTTCACTACTTCATCAATTGATTTGCCATCCTTACCTAGTACCCGTTTCCTAACAACTGAGTTACTTACTCGGTGGTTACAGGATATACGAGCAATGTTTCGAAGACACCTATGATCAAATACTAGTAACCTACGAATATCCTCTACTCTTACTGGCCATGTTTCACTGCCATAGAGTAAGACGGAACGAAGTGCTGCGCAGTAAACTCGTCCTTTGGTTGATAGACGGATATCTCGCCTACGCCACAAATGACGCAAGTTGGAAAAAGCTAGTCGAGCCTTTTGTATCCGTGCTGAGATTTCGTCACACACCAGACCACAAGGGCTGATGAGACTTCCGAGATAAGTGAAGCGGTCGACACGCTCAACTACTTCACTCCCTACCACTAGTTCGGGTGCCGATGCAACCCAATCCTGAGGCAACATTTTGCATTTCGAGGGAGAAAATCGCATGCCGAACACGCCTGTATTGCTGCTTAGAGTGGTCAGGAGACTGCATTTTGTCAGCGTCTTCACCAAATAGAACTATGTCATCGGCATACTCTAAGTCAACAAGTGGATCTCCCGGTAAAAGTTCAACTCCTGGAAATTTAGATGAGAAAAGTGTTATTTCTAAAAGCACGTCAACGACAAAGTTAAACGAGAATGGAGAGAGTGGACAGCCCTGACGAATACCATTTGAGGTAATCAGTTCTGATGACAGTTCGCCATAAGCTCTCACTCGACCAGTTGTGTTCGAGTAGAGAGCCTTTATAAGGTTGATGTACTTCTTTGGTTCTCCCTTCAGTGACAAACACTGCCATAGAACCTCACGATTAACATAGTCAAATGCCGCCTTAAGGTCGAGAAATACTATGATTGTGGGGCGTCTGAATGTGTGTCTATGTTCTAGGACCTGACGTAGTGTGAATATCTGATCTATACAACCACGTCCAGGTCGAAAACCAGCCTGGTATTCTCTAGTCTGCTCTTCACGAGCTTTGGTTAGACGTCGAAGTATTATTGAAGCTAATATTTTAGACACTATATTAGTCAAACTAATACCTCTGTGATTGTCACAAGAAGACTTTTGTCCTTTCTTATAAACTGGCACGATCAGTGATTGAGACCAGTCAGATGGGATTACGTCCAGTTCCCTGATTCTACCTAAGACCTCAGTCAATCTCGCTGCTAATACTGGACCGCCATCCTTAAAAATCTCAGGGGTAAACCTGTCAGGGCCTGCTGCTCTCCCACGCTTCAGATTTCCTATAGCTTTTTCAACTTCGTAAAGAGTCGGAGGACTTACATCAACTTGCCATTCAGGTCGACTGGAGATCGTGAGAAACCGAAGTGTGGCTGAAGGCCAGTTGAACTGATCCCTAAAGTGTTATGCCCATCGATCCAATCTCCTGGATTGAGAATAAATAATATGTCCATCTTTTTCGGAGATAGTTTCGCTAAAAGTTGGGTTCCTAATACCGGTTTTCTTAACAAGTCTGAATAGTTGCCTGCTGTTACCTATTGCCGCTGCCTTTTCCATCTCTCTTGCTTTCGCTACCCACCACTGTTCACGATCATTGCGTAGGCTTCTAGTCAGCTTAAGCGTAAGCTGACTCCGCTCTTCGTTATGTTCATAGTCAGATGGAATGAGTTTTCGAGCATCTATCAGTGCGATAGACGCTGCTGAGATCCAGTGTTTCTCCCTAACCTTATGGTTTACCGCACTTGAAGACATCGCTGCTGTTTCTACAGCTTTTCGGATGCCATTCCACGCTGTCTCGGGGTGGGCGTCACTAACATGGCTGTCTAACTGTTTTTCTAGATGTTCCTGAAATATACTCTTAGTTTGACTATCATTAAGTAGTACCCTAAGGGGTTTCATTGCAGCATGTTTCCTACGTCCAGTAAGACGTAGACAAATACGCGCTCGCACTAGAGCATGATCTGAGTCTAAGCATGTGCTCCAGAATGAGCGACAGTCTTCTATCGAGCCCCTCCATCGGTGGCTGATAGCGATGTGATCTATTTGGGTCCAACGTTGGGACGAATTAGGGGGTCGCCATGTCAAAAGATGTTTTTCCTTATGCTTAAAGTTAGTGTTTGCAAGAAACAGGCGGTTATCTGAGCATAGCTGCAACAGACGGTCACCGTTATCTGTTCTTTGAACTGCGACACCATAAGATCCACCCATATATCTTTCCTTTTCGCTTAGTTTACCTACTTAAGCATTAAAGTCACCAGCCACTATTACTACATCTGAACGCCTAGTTTTTCGGAGAAGGTCGGAAAGCTTTCTGTAAAACTCATCTTTTACATTATCTGAGCTGCAGTCAGTGGGAGAGTAGGCAGAGACGACGAAGAGGCAACGACGAGTGTCCCTATCTTTTCGAGTCCTTACTGTTCCGTTTAGTCGGACAGCACACCAGCGACTGTCTACTGGGATCCAGTCTAAGGGAGCTAGTTCTGCCCTAAGACTCAATGCTATACCTACGCCAGCGAGGCCACGGGAAGCAGCATCAGGGCTTCCAGATACACGAAGCGTAAATCGAGTTGGTTCGTTACTTTGACATGGTGCGGTCAAATGAATGACACTACTCGGATCCTGTGTGCGCGTTTCGGAGACGCAGCACACATCGATGGAGCGAGATTCTAAAGTCTTAGCTAAGGAAGCCTGTTGTCCTATTTGGTACAGTGTTTGGACAATAATGGTCTTCCTTGATTTAAAAGCAGCGTTTGACTCTGTTGACCGAGAGGTTCTGTGGCAGTGTCTGTCATTGAAAGGCGTACCTCAGAAGTACATAAACCTTGTGAACGCCCTTTACTCGAACACTACTAGTCGAGTCAGAGCTTATGGCGTACTATGATCCGCTTTTGCAACCTCAGGTGGTGTTCGTCAAGGCTGTCCACTTTCTCTATTTTTGTTCAACTTCATCATAGATCTACTGATGGAAATAACGCTCTCATCGACTGAATTCTCAGGTATTGATCTCCTACCAGGAGGTCCACTTACTGACTTAGAATACGCAGATGACATAGTCCTGTTTGGTAAAGACGCTGATAAAATGCAGAGTCTTTTGGTAGCACTGAGCAACAATGCCAGAATGTTTGGGATGCGCTTCTCTCCCTCTAAATGCAAGTTGTTGCTTCAGGACTGGTCTGCGTCAACACCTGAACTAAGGATAGGGAGTGTAGTAGTCGAACGCGTTGACAACTTCACTTATCTTGGAAGTCTGATCAGCTCTAATGGGTTGGTGTGTGACGAAATCTCAGCACGGATTCAAAGAACTCGTTTGGCCTTTGCCAACTTACGTCATCTATGGCGAAGGCGAGATATCCGCCTATCAATTAAGGGACGAGTTTACTGCGCGGCGGTTCGTTCCGTTCTACTATACGGCTGAGAAACATGGCCTTTAAGAGTAGAAGATATTCGTAAGTTACTAGTATTTGACCACAGGTGCCTTAGAAATATTGCGGGTATCTGCTGGGATCACCGGGTAAGTAATAGTGAGGTTAGACGCAGGGTATTAGGGAATGATGGTAAATCAGTTGGTGAGGTTGTGTACCCTGATTGACTGAGATGGTTGGGCCACGTGTTGTGTATGCCTGAACACTGATTACCACGATGTGCAATGCTAATGGGTGTTAGGGATGGTTGGAAGAAAGTTAGGTGAGGCCAAACCAAAAAGTGGCATCAGTGCTTGAAGTCACTAACTTCTGGTCTGAGCCATGTTGGTAGATGCAGACTGCCTGGTTGGGGTCCGCTTGACTATCGTAACCAATGGTTGGAGACTCTTGGTGACATGGCTCAGAATCGATCACAATGGCGTCGGTGTATACACTCTCTGTCTTCCTTTAAACTAAGAGAATAAAATCACTTCAAATCTTTCTTTCTAGGAACTAATTCTATCTTCCTGTACTATCTCCTTATACACACTCTTCTATATATTACCACCACTGAATTAACTACTTCTATGAATCCGGTGTTCATCTTGTTGTGCTAATGCGGTATGGCAACTTGGACCGATGCATATACGTGCCTGGTCCTACGTTGCAGCTGACTGACTTTCTAGTTGTAAAGTAACTGCGCCTAATTCGGGTCTCAGTATCGTTTAACATTATATATATATATATAATCACTTCATTTAGTTGTAAAACTCATTTGTTTCTTTTATAAGGCACAACTGGATATATTATTTGGCCGTTTACGACGCATCGAGCATATGCAACAACGTTCAAGTAATTTTGACTCTGCAGATAAATCATTGATGGAGGGGAACTTGGAACGCATCATGACCGGTTCATTGTTTCAAGTTGTTCTTATGATTGCTGTAGCAACTGTCCAAGTTGGTCTTATTCGATCTTTATTCGATCAACGAAGTTATTTTTACAAAATTTGGTTTGGAAACAGATCTCGAAACCTAAATGCCCGTTGTTAATCTTGCATTGATTCAGTCAAACATTCTAGTCTGTATTTGCCTTTAATGTGGTTTCCTTAACATCGAAATTTATTTATGCATTTGTTTTGTTTTGTGAACCTAGAATATTTTTTGATTTGTATGTATACAATATACGTTTAAACCGGATTTTCCTGCTGTCAATTTGGCGTCTACTTAATTTTAGTAGCATGTATTTTCTCTTTCATGTGCCATTTCAAAATACGATATCTCTGTAATAAAGATGGTGCTAATTTGTCTTCAGTTTTGTTTTCGCTACTTGTTGTGTCCTATTATTGGTTGCTTAAATTTATCGACCTAAAATAATATTTTCCTTGTAGTAGATGGAGAGAGTGGTAAAAGTAAACGACCAATTAATCTTGGTTATTGTCGGTTGTGTTTTGCAAATAGATACTTGATTTCATGTCTTAGTATATATGTGATAATCGTATCTACATTCGTTTCATCAGATTACCCTAACCTTTTAATAGATATTTTAGGTTGAACATGCTCATTCAGTAGAGTAAGAAGCCCCTTAGCTCATGTTTCTTGTCACTTGACATGTATTAATGTCTTTCTCAAGACTGACACCAAATTCTTAGTTTGAAGTACAGTGAGTTGATTTGTGCTGTTCTGCATTTCGATTCGCAGGTCTTATTGTTATTTCACCCTCTATGGTTCTCATACTTGACATTAGTTTTATGCTCATTGGCACTTTTGTTTAGATTGTATGGGTTTTTTGCTATTATTGTCTGATAGTTTAGTGATGAAGATTGACAGCAGTCAATTTTCGTTCCATTTTTCAGTGCAGGTCGGGTTTCACTGCTCGATATTTTGTAATAAATTTTCTCAAGTGTGTGGTAAAAAGGAATACTCAGATAGTTTCGTGGTATGTTTGTTGCCCGTGATTTAAATCAAAAATGCAGTCAGTACGTGTTTGATCATTAAACACAAATGGGGAGGCTATTTTCGTTTGCACTTCAATGGTCACTATAATAGACGCCTGATAATCTTTCCATATAAAACATATATTACTTCTCTGGACCCTAGGAAATTTAGACATTTGTTTTCAAGATTAGTAAGGGATCCTGTTTCATTTCTTGCTGTCAGGGTCGATTAATTGTTCATAATGTATGGTCAGAAGCACCAAGGTGTCATTACTTTAGTGGGAACCCTAATTTTCATCAGAAGCATGCATCATCAGTTTTGTAAGATATCTGCATTTCGTTTTCTAGACAAATTTGTTTACTCCCATGTACTTTGAATTCTTTCATGAAAATCATGTGAATAAATGATCAATGTTGGCAAATATTCGCACATTCTGTACATCTAAGCTGTAAAAAGTTCTGTGTAAAACAAGCAGACACACCAGTTGTTAATATTTTGGTTTATTTAACACTAGGATATACAACATTTCGAAGTGATGTACTAGAGGCCATGCGATTGTCAGATTTAGAGGCAATATTTTTGGGTGCTAACAGATGTTTCATTATTCGTATCACAAGCAAATTCATCTTAGAACTTATTTAGCCGATGAGTTAGTGTGTAATCTACTAAATAGTTTGTAGAGAAAAGTATACCTGGTACTAAATCCATTGTGATATTTGCTTTCCTGATTGATTATCTCTGTTTAGATGGGTCAAACTACAGAAGTTACGAGTAATGATGACGAACTGTGGAAAACAGCATCAGAAGCAGGAGAAAAGTTCAGTGCTTTGTACTATCGTGCTTTTGACAAGCCGAACAGACCCGATTTGCCTGGATTTTTTATGGATAATGTTGTTCTTCTATGGAATGGGAATCGTGTGGAAGGTCAACAACTAGTGGTTGACTTCTTCTCTAAGCTTCCAGACAGTACATGCACCTTGCACTCATTATCTTGTCAACCAGTACATAGTAAGTTTACATTTGATGAATTGGTACTTATTCCCGATTTTTTAATTTGTTATATACGACTTTACCATCTTTGGCTACTAATATTTTAGATTTCGTTTTTTCAGCTGTTGGACTATTTGCTGACTTTTTAAGCATTAAGTAGTCAAAAATCATAAACATAAAGAAATACAGGAGAATTAATGAGAGGAAATAAGAAATAATAAGGACAATATGGGCTTCAGTAGCAAATCAAAGATAAGGAAATAGTCAAAAGAAACGATTGTTTTTGAAGGAAGAACGGTATGGAATATTACTTAATGTGACTGTAGGAAGTTAAATAGGATTTGTTTATCGATAAATGATACTTCATATCGATTTAGGAGCAGAATTTAGAATAGATTACAACGACCCACCATCCTTAAGATTGCAAGCCATATCACGTAAAGTCTTCAATCATGTGTCATACACCTTGGTTACTGAAATAGGATCAAATAGCGAATGAATTCTAGTTTCTAAACTAACCCAGTACCTTCCGATGTTAAGTAAACATATTAAATTTTCATCTATTGATTATCAGTTTAGTTTGTTGTTTTTTATTTCTAAAGATTTTGACTGCAACACCTTTTTAAGAACTAGTAATGTTATAGTTATAACCGAATAGATTATCATGCAAACTATTGTATATCTTGAATGTTTTATTCTTTAGTTAGTAGATTAGGTGTAAACTAATCAAGCTAAACTTTTTTCAAGTGGATGGTGTATGTACTAATATGATAGTCCTCTTAATTTTCATTTTAACCTTAAAATAAATATTTACTTGATTTGGCGTATGAGTTATTTCGTTGCCAAAAGGCATAAACTACTTGGTGTGTCGTGTCATGATCAGATAAAGGAATGCGAATTGATGACCCTCGTTCACTCCTTTCATAAAACCATATACTCGATGATATCTGCTCTTATTTTCTCTGGCGTATATCTATTAATTGTTTAAACCTAATCATTGTTAACAATTATTGTTTTTTTCATTTTTAGAAAGCCTAAGTGGTGACCGATTATTGGTTTTGGTAAATGTGTTTGGTACCATTAAATTTGAACAACATCCTACTCACATTTTCTCCGAAACATTTTTCTTAACACAAGAATCAAATTTATGGAGAGTACAGTCAGTCACATTTCGCTTCATTGACTAATCCTTTTAGTTTTGATGTTGATGGAAACATATTTTTCGTATTGCCTTCTGATTTTGGGAGAGGATATTTGTATTACTGTCATATTTTTTCATAATTTTTATATATACCTAATAGAAGAAACCTGTGTTTAAAAAGAGGATTTAAAATGGAAATTATCCTTTGTTGTACTGGTTTTATCACTATTATGTTTATATATTTTATCGGTGTGTGTGGCGATGTAATATTGTTCGAAAGTCAAGGTAAATACAGAAATAATCACTCACAAACTGTAAATAAACTCCAGAAAATACGTATATTCGAAGATGACTGTAATTTCCTAAGACTTTCTAAACAATCTAAGTAGATCTTGTTTCAAATGCTTGGCTGCAGACTTGTTTGTACATGTATACTGTAATACTGAATTTTTGATTATTCCATCAACGTACTTCGCACAAGTAAGCATGTTTGATTCAGTTCACAAATGACCCATTTAATTGCCTAATTACTTGATTTTATTACCTATCAAATAAAGTAGTATGTGGTTTTGTTTTATTTTCAATTTAGTGTATATCAATGAGTCACTATTTTTTTACAGTGTAGATTCATAATTGTTTATCAGATACTCAGTTACAACGTACGACTAGGCAATAAAAAAGCATCGGTCCAAGTTCCCATAAACTCATTAGCACAAGATGAAAACCAAGTTCATAGAAGCAGTTACTTCAATGGTAGTAAACAAACACATTTCATATAAGGATAAGACACAGCGAGAGAGGTATGAAGTAATTTTAATCCCATTGTTTAAGAGAAGACAGAGAGTGTATACACCGACGCCATTATGATCGATTCTGAGTCATGTGACCCACAATCTCCAACCATTGGTTACGATAGTCACGCGGACCCCAACCAAGTAGTCTGCATCTACCAACATGGCTCAGACCAGACGTTAGTGTCTTCAAGCACTGATGCCACTTTTTGGTTTGGCCTCACCTAACTTTCTTCCAACCATCCCTAACACCCATTAGCATTGCACATCGTGGTAATCAGTGTTCAGGCATACACAACACGTGGCCCAACCATCTCAGTCAATCAGGGTACACAACCTCACCAACTGATTTACCATCATTCCCTAATACCCTGCGTCTAACCTCACTATTACTTACCCGGTGATCCCAGCAGATACCCGCAATATTTCTAAGGCACCTGTGGTCAAATACTAGTAACTTACGAATATCTTCTACTCTTAAAGGCCATGTTTCTCAGCCGTATAGTAGAACGGAACGAACCGCCGCGCAGTAAACTCGTCCCTTAATTGATAGGCGGATATCTCGCCTTCGCCATAGATGACGTAAGTTGGCAAAGGCCAAACGAGTTCTTTGAATCCGTGCTGAGATTTCGTCACACACCAACCCATTAGAGCTGATCAGACTTCCAAGATAAGTGAAGTTGTCAACGCGTTCGACTACTACACTCCCTATCCTTAGTTCAGGTGTTGACGCAGACCAGTCCTGAAGCAACAACTTGCATTTAGAGGGAGAGAAGCGCATCCCAAACATTCTGGCATTGTTGCTCAGTGCTACCAAAAGACTCTGCATTTTATCAGCGTCTTTACCAAACAGGACTATGTCATCTGCGTATTCTAAGTCAGTAAGTGGACCTCCTGGTAGGAGATCAATACCTGAGAATTCAGTCGATGAGAGCGTTATTTCCATCAGTAGATCTATGATGAAGTTGAACAAAAATAGAGAAAGTGGACAGCCTTGACGAACACCACCTGAGGTTGCAAAAGCGGATCATAGTACGCCATAAGCTCTGACTCGACTAGTAGTGTTCGAGTAAAGGGCGTTCACAAGGTTTATGTACTTCTGAGGTACGCCTTTCAATGACAGACACTGCCACAGAACCTCTCGGTCAACAGAGTCAAACGCTGCTTTTAAATCAAGAAAGACCACCATTGTCGGACGCTGATAAGCTTGCCTGTGTTCTATAATCTGACGAATGGTGAATATGTGGTCGATGCAGCCGCGATTAGGTCTGAAGCCAGCCTGATTTTCTCGTGTTTTCAGTCCACGAGTCTTTATTAGGCGTCCGATAATTATTGAAGCTGGTATTTTAGATTCTATATTAGTTAGACCAATGCCTCCGTGATTGTCACAGGATGATTTTAACCCTCTCTTACATATTGGGACGATAAGTGTTGTGACGAGTCAGACGGGATAACGTCGAACTCCCATTTTTTAGCTAAAATATTGGTCAACCTAATCGCTAAAATTGGACCACCATACTTGAAGACCTCTGGAGCCAATCCATCTGGACCAGGTGCTCTTTCTCGTTTCAGATTAGCTATAGCCTTTTGAACTTCAACTAGAGTCGGGGGACCCACTTCAATGTTCCATTCAGGCTGTCTGGAAGTGGTGGGTAGTTGTAGGGTAGCTGAACTGCTCCGTAGAGTGTTTCACCCATCGTTCTAAACGTCTGGACCGGGAGCAGATGAAAGCTTGTCGTTTTCCGAAATTCTTACACTTTGTTAGTCTGAAAAGGTGTCTGGTGTTATCTACAGCCGCTAACTTCCATCTTTTTCGCTTTTGTTACTCACTGGTCAGCCGTTATCTGATTTATTTTCGCTGATCATCGTTTTCAGAGCCTGGTGGGATGAGTTGAGCAGAATATATCAGTGCTATAGATGTCTCATTAATGAGCTGGTTTTTCATGACCCTATGATTTAAATCACTAATAGATTTCACTGCTGTCTCCACAGCTTATTGTATATCTTTCCAAGCAACATCTGGGTTAGCTTCGTTTTCAGAACTACCCAAGTTTGACCTCAGTTGTTCCTGGAACGCACTTTTAGTTTTCTCGTTATTTAATTCAGTTCTAATGGGTGTTTTTAGTGTGGCTTTTTTGCGTCCAGTGAGGCGCAAGCAGATACGTACCTGTATTAGGGCATGGTCGGAGTTCAAGCAGGTACTCCAGAATGAGCGATAATCTTCTATCCACCCTCTCCAACGATGACTGACGGCAATATGGTCTATTTGAGTCCATCGTTGGTTTGGTGCAGGGGATCGCCATGTTAGACGGTGTCTCTCCTTATGCTTAAAATTTATGTTTGCTAAAAATCAACCATTGTCTGAGCACAGTTGCAGCAGACGGTCACCATTATCTGTTCGCTCAGCTGGAATACTAAAATACCCACTCAAATGTCTTTCTAATTGGTTTAAGCTGCCTATCTGGGCATTAAAGTCACCTCCTACGAGTACTATGTCTGAGTTTAGCTTTGTGAAGGTCACACACGACCTTTTTAGGGGTAATTTTTGTGCTAGCTCCGTATTGTTGGGAACTCACCGCCGGAGACGGTTATCTGTGGGATAAGGTGAGGTGTGCATTGTTAGGGTCGACCTTTACTAACTGCACTTTTCCTTTGTGAAAAGGCAGCATCGCTTTTATGCTGGTTATCTAGAGGAAACACCTTACTACCGTCACACCTCTGTACAGTCAGCAGTACGACTTCACCTTCGGATCTTGGGTTTGCTTCTTTCAGCCTTACCATTCTTCAACTGACCTATCTGGTATGGTAGGACCTTGAGGAGCGGTTGTTCCAGCCAGTATAGACCGATTGGTTCATCACGATAGGCAAGTTCAACCACCACGTCAAGGTAGTAGCAACGGTCGGGATAATCGTTCATACTTAGTGTTTACTTACTTTGAACTTCTAATTTTTTGCATGCACCTCTGATATACCCCGTTAGTTTTGTATACCATGTTTATTTATTCGTTAGTTAAACAGTAATCAATGCCACTAAATAAAGTGATACCGTAATATTGGACAGTTGATTTCTCAAAGTACCTTATGTTTTACTTAGCCGTCAGACTGTCAGAAATAAACATTATGCCCGTAACTGCGAATAGTCATTTTGAAAAAAAATAATTTGGAACGTTTATGAGTTGAAGTAATAAGTATACTTTCAACAAAGACATCCATCTATTCGTTTCAAAAAAGCGTGAGATTCTAAAAATCAAAGCGCGTTTACGTTGTGTTATAAATATGACTAACACCCATTTGAGAGCCCAGATGAACTAGTTTGAAATGTTCTACGGATAAGAATTAGTAAAAAAGATAACATTCCACTTTGAGGTTTTAGACAAATTAATAACTGTGGCATGATTGTTTACGTCTAATGTTTAGGGAAGCTAAATTCTAAGGATCAGTTAAGTATGAATATTATTCTCTCCCAGTAAACTTTAATAACAAGTTTAAAATAAAGTATAAATTTCAACTCGAATACAAAGAAAAACCTATTATTTTGGAAATGACAACAAAGAAAAACAATTATATCTGTCAATACCTCTTTATTAAAAAAGATAAAATGCTTATTCTGTAGAGGAGATAATAGTACGGATGAAATAAAATCTGACCATAAACATATTGAACTTATAAGGATATAATACTTTGCTGGTTTGTATACAATAGCATATATATATGGGCGTATAAGAAGTACGGTAAGCTTAAAATAGAAACAAAAAATTGAGCCTACAGAATCTGTAAACGATAATAACAACAATATTGCAAGTAATATCGGTGATTTTGGTGCCAAATAAACAATGATAGTTAAAATATGGGTAAACTGTACTGTTTTCCGAAAACAAAAGTGACAATTACCTCCAGGATATAAACTACCATAAGGAAAAATGCAATTGTTCTATTTTGAAGTATTATCTCTTGACAGACGTGTTCTTTTCTTATCTGCCAAAGGACTGGTAATTGCTAAGCGTTTACGATTACCAACATGATTGTTGCCACTTAAAGTGGTTGTTACAGAACTGCTATTATTAGTATTATTAAAAGTAGTATCCACTAAATTGCTCGGTACATTGTTTTCGTCATTTGGACCAGACACTGAATTATTTACTTTGGCTGCTAATTCAGCTTTAAGTTTGCGCTTTAGTGTCACTTTAAGAGGCTCCAAGCGCCTGGGTTCTATTTTTTGGTTACTATCGCCATTAGAGTTGATAACTGTTGTGGA